ATGCTCAGAACTCTAATATTGGCTTCTGGGATGAAGCAGTAAAGGAGGCCACCCCACCTCAGGCCACACGAAAGAGCCACAATCAGAAAAACAAGGACAACGCTAACCTCAGGTGAACCATTACACATATTATTGTCTGTATTGCTCTAAACAGTGCAATAAAACCTCTTGCAAAAAAAAAAGCTTTTTGTGCCGTTTCCATGCTGTATTTTGTAAAATAAGCTGTCATGTGCAGTAATAGCAGCAGTGGTAAAGCCAGTAAAAAGGTGGAAGAGGAAGAGAAGCTTCTGAAACTGTTCCAGGGAGCCAATAAGACCCAGGACGGCTTTATCCAGTGGTGTGAACAGACTCTACACACTCTCAACACAGCCAATAACCTCGATGGTGAGTTTCTGACACACACACACATTTCTCAACCTCAACTATCATGCTTATTGGCATCTGTTTCTCATACAACGCGCAAACTTCTTCCCACAAACCACTTCCCTCTCAGATGTTTCATCGTTTTTTTATCTTGATTATTTTAATGTGATGGAGTCAATAGACTGGCTTCTAACGTTAAAAAGGTCTTGTTTCAGAAAACATCTAGTTGTAGTCTTTTGAATAATACTATGAATAAAACAACATGGGTTTAGTGTTCAGAAATTTGCCCTGTAACATGGTAATGAAGAAATAAATTGCACCCACAAATATTATATATCATGCATAACCTCTTGAAAAAAGACTTATGTAAAGTTTTTTGAAAGTCATCAGTCTTTCCCTCTTCACACAGTCCCCACCTTTGCATCATTCCTGAAGGAAGTGGACTCGCCGTACGAGGTACACGAATATGTGAGAGCCTACCTGGGCGACACTCCACAGGCCAAGGACTTTGCCAAGCAGTTCCTGGAGCGCCGTGCCAAACAGAACGCTAACCAGCAAAAACCTCAGCAGGGACAGCAGCAAAAACAGCAGGTGCGTTTGTGTGCCTATGCACTAGTATGCATGTGCGTGTGTATTAATGTCATTTTCACTGAACTCCCTGTGTTTGTGTCTTAGGACTCTGTGTGGGGATTGAGCCAAGTGTCACAGTCAGTCCTGCACCAACAACAACAACAGCAGCAGCAGCGGTTTGAGACTGTCACCTCAGGCAAGAAGAAGAAGAAACAGAAGATGGTACGAGCCGACCCGAGCCTTCTAGGTGAGTGTTGGGAAAGTAATTCCTAAATTTTGTCATTTTAAAACTTGATATGGTTTGTAGAGAAATCACTCAGTGTTTCAAATTCCTTTACTTGAAAGAAACTTTAATTGAAATATAATACTACTAATACTATAACAGAATCTCAATGGTATTAAAATAACACTGTTATTGATGCAAGGGTTTTTTCCCCCCACATGTTTACCATATTTTTTGTTGGTGTTTTACATTAAAGAATCTAATGAGAATAACAGAAATAAAAAACACTATACTAAATTGTCCGGATGCAATATTATGTGAAAAAAAATACAGTTTTCATAACTGCCAGTCATTATTATCAATATCAAATATATATTGAGATATATATTGTTTAAAAATAGTTTTTTGGTTTTATTTGGACCAATAATTAATTATTAAAATTCTCATTACAAAAATGCAAAAATATATAATGTCCACTGATATATATAATATCCACTATAGTTTTTAATTTATTATAATGCAAAAAAATTTACAAATGTTATATATATATTTCTCCTCCCTGTAATGGTTTTATATTTTTTCCATGTCTCTGCAGGTTTTTCTGTCAATGCCTCGTCTGAGAGACTCAACATGGGCGAGATTGAGTCAGTGGAAGACGTTTGAGGCCTGCTGATCAACAAGCTCCCCCTGCTGACTTGTTTCCCTTCTGAACAGTGTCCCTTATATTCTCTCTCTCAAACCTTTTTCCTCTTTTCTGTTTTTTTTTATTTTATTTTTTTTATCCTCAATTCTTTGCTTTGAAGTAGATTCGGGGCAGCAAGTTTTTCTTCCTCCCTAATCCAGAGGAAACCACAGTTGCAATAACAGCGCTGCCCCACGGCCACGAAAAGAACCAAAAAAGCAATGCCTTGAGAAAAGGAAGAGAGAGCCTTGTTTCTGCAGGAGAGAGGAGTCAACCGATTTCATCGTGTCGCCCCACTGTGATGGAGCGTCTGCTCGTGATCGTTCTCATCTCCCGACTGATGTTTCTTTAAGTGTGAATAAAAGGAGTGCAGAGGAAAAAAATTATGTATTATCCCCATTACAACTTCCTTTAATTTATTCGTTCCTCCCCTCATTCTTTGTGTTTTCCATTTTCTTCCCTTCTCTCCTCTCCCGCTTTGCTGCCCCCTATGTTGACGGACGTCGATAACAACGTAGGACTCGAGGAAATGCAATCAACAGTGTCCTGTTTTAAGGACATGTTTGAAAGTTCCAGACAGTTATCCATTTCTTTGTAAAATATTAGGCTGTTTAAAGAATAAACTTTCAATTCTGCATCTGTATTATAATGGATATATATATATATGGAAATGATGAACCAATGGAGTCATACTTTTTTTTTATTGCAGTAGATGAATAAATCAAACAGCCTCTTGTGTGGGCTGTTCTGCACGCTTTTGCCTGTAATGCACAAAGTAGGGTTGTGCAAATGTTTGCAGATTCCCACGGTTATGGAAAACCTGGAAGTTTCAGGGAGTTTTACAATTATGATTTGGAAATGCCTATAATATATGTATTTCTTGTTATGCTCGACTCTAAAGTATTTCGGTGCCTCTTTGTGTGCAGTCAATTAATTTTTCAGTAGCTATGAATTACTAAAAAAAATCATGAAATTCATAGATGCCCTCTCTGTAAGTTTAACCTGTTACTTGGGTTCAGTTTCTTGTTTATTTCCTAAAATCAACAGGTTGTCTTTAGTTTCTTTTTGACATGCATAATGGTTGAGTCTCAAGTCAAAATTAGACCTAATCCTTGAGCGTGTTCCTAGTTGCCACAGAAAATATTTTAGTGCATCAATATTTAAAAAGAAGTGTAGTCTTTTACACTAAATCGGTTACAAGTGAAGTGCATTGAACCAGAATAAACATTTAAATGCAAATGTTTTTTTTTTTAAAGTATAGCTACAAGACATTAAATTTTGTTATTAATATTATACCAGCGTCATATGCAAGGTTTATTTTTTGTTTTTTCAGTTTATCCAGTTTTTAATTTGCTCTCCTGACAACAGTTCATAGTCTGAGTCTGTAGTTTGGAATTGGACATAATCCCACCATTAAAAAGCGCACAATATGTATATTATGTATCATGATACTCATGACTGTAAGACTTCCAATTCACAGTTTTCTATGAAAAGTGCGTAAAGCTGGCAGATGCAATGACTGATTAATCCAGTTTTGTGTGCAGAAAATGGTCTCGTCAAGGCCAAAAAGACCCTTCTGAAACTATTCCATGCAGTTTGTTCCTGTCTGGTGTTTATAGAGGGGGCTCAGCATCTAAAACTAATTGATATGTACTGTATACTCGCTTGATGTCTCCATAACTTCAGAGTTTGGTGGCAGGGTGCAAAAATGTCTTGCAGGAAAAAATTCTTGAAGAATTTAAGAAAGAGCCCATCATGACTGTACTTGCATTCATTAATTTGCACACAATCTGGTTACGCTTCAGTGATGCTTCAGCCAACCTGATCGCAAGAAAACATAAACATTTTACAAGGTGGCGATTATTGTATGAATTGGTATAATGTTAATCATATGAAAAAGTGATTTTTAGGGGGAAAAAAAATGTGTGAAGGTCCACCCGTTAACACAAGCATCACTGGAGTGAAACCAGAAAACGTGAAAACATACAAATGTGATTGTATGAAGTTGCTACCAATTTGCCGAAACACAAAAAGGGTTACAAATTATGAAATTGTGTTGGCCATAGCTGTTAATATATTGTGTTTTTTCTAGCTGGAACACTGCATCACCATCCAGGACTGGAACTTTCCACTTTTTAGTAATTGATTATAATGACTAGTAACACCCGAAGTGTTATAATTGCATAACCAAAATACAGCTATTGAGGCCAGCACGTTTTGCATGGTTTTTGGGTCAAAATTCCATAATTACCCTTCGGTGTAATTATGAATCATGCCAGAATAATCAAACTGAATCATGACCATACTTTCATGATGCTTCACATAGCTTAATTGCATCAATTGTAATAAAATTTAACTGTCATCTGCTTGACCCACGTCTATGATCTGAAATCCAACAGAAAGGCGGCCTGGGCCACTGATGGACATGAAGGCATCGTGCTGCGGGAGTGGAAAGACTCACTTATCCGGGTGTGAAGAGGGTGGGCAGTTACCAGAAGAGTTGACAAAAGTCTGCACTGTCTATACGGAGTCCTCCCACCTAAACCCAGTAAATGTTCTTCACACTAAGAAAAATTTTTTATTTTAAGAGCTGTTTACTTGCTGGAAAAACCTTTATTTTTTTTAGAGTGTATGTTGAAGAACTTTTATTATGAAGATATTAACAGACTAAAGATTATCCTTTTACATGAAAATACTTGACTGTGAATTTAGGTGTGAGGGGATTTTTAATGCATGATGCTTCTCTGTCTCCTTGTTGGTATTACTTTAATGTAATTTGCCTTTTTTTTTTGCTTTATTTTACGTTTACTGGGTAAAAAAAAACATTCATGAGGACAACAAATTCTGTCATGCAAAACAGCGTTGACTAGTCCTTGTCAAGTCCAGTCACATTTATTTATATAGCTTGTTATACAATATACAGATTCACAGTAGCCTAATAAACAGGAAAAAAAACAATATAAATGATGCCAAATTCAAATATGAGACAAATTCAAATTGTGATAAAGCAGCTTTAAAATGGTGTCATTATTCAGGCCAAGTTAGTTCAGTGCTGGTTCAGTTGGTTCACATCAATTATGAAATGAATTTAGTTCAGCAGCTCTATAGTGTCGTTATTCAGCTCGAGTCAGTTCAATGTTGATTCAATTCAGTTCAGTGTGAAACAAATTCGATTCAGCTATAAAGCCGCTACAGAAGACGATTGTCATTATCCTGCTCAGTTCAGTTCGAGGTTTGTTCTCTGATAGTGTCAATGCAGTCAAATCGATAATGTTACTGAATATTAAGTGTCATAAAATGAACCTAATGCATTTCTGTTATTTGTCTGAGTGTGAAGATTCCCGGCGGGCGTGAGGTGAGATGAGGACGCAGGCACAGTGGCGGAGGATTGTGTCATTCGCATGCACCTGTCTGCATGTTGTCCTCTCACAGTTGTGTGTTAAAATACAAGAAACGAGACAACGTTCTTGGCCTTGTCCTCTCGCCAAATGTTTAAGCAGCACTTAATAAATATTTAAGCAGGCCATGAAGTGAGAAACACAAAAAAAAGTGTATTTTTTTAAAAAAATCAACAGATTACGCACGCTGACGCCGAGATGCGTGCTTTTCCACAGACTGGCTTCATAAACAAGCTTGTTTGACTTGCAGTGTACTGGCTGTGTTTAGGCCGTTGGTTCCTCTGCCTCAAGCTGTCCTCTCTGACCACACAAGCGCCCTTTTGTACCCTCAAGTGAAGGGCTCATTGATGTATGGCTGGCCTCGCGCCCCGGTGTGCCGTACCTACTGCCTGCTTCAAGTTAGGAAAGTGTGTGTCTTACTGAGCAAACAGAGTATTATCAAAAATACTTGTATGCTGGCCATCCTTGACTTGGTGATTCCAAATATGAACTTTTTATTTTAAGATTTAGGGTGGAATATGAGCATTTTAGTGGTTAGTTGCATGGAAAGGTGGTATAAGTGGCCGCTGCTTGTATTTTCGAACATTTCGGTGAACAAATGAGTGCTCTGTTATGTTTGTCAGTTTAGTTTTAGTTCATTTTTGACCCATGCCGTTGGGTTGTTCGAGCAGGGTCAGGCTAGGTATCCCACGGTTTGTCCATGTTCACTCTGTCTGTCTTTGTCCCTTCATTTTGGGGTCAGAACCTTTGTCCATAAGGTGCCCTCTGGGAACTTTGGGAAAGCTGTAACATAGGAAATAAGCTTTGGGCTTGGTGAGTGTGGTGTAGGTGAGAAAAGTCGCATGGCTGTTCCATGCCTGCGGGAGATGTGGAATGTTAGTGAGAGATGCGAGGAGAAGAAGAGGGTATAGCGAGAGCTAATCCTCCATGAAGACACTCATTGAGTCATATAGAATGTGATTAACATTGGCCACTCTCTAGACCTATGCATTCCCTGCAGACTTAATAATGTTCAGGAAAAAAAACAAACAAACACATTTAACGTTTGGAGCTCACCTTAGCAAATACCAAGATTTTTGCACATTCTTAACATTAAAGTTGTTTTTGCAGCACCTTATATTCAGCAAAACAACTTTATTTATCTATTTAAATTCTTAAGAAAATGTTTTCCTATGACACCTGCTGGCTTTGAATGGATTTATTGATTGATTTTTGATTTATTAATTTTTTTATGTATTTATTTAGTATTCTAACTTGTAAATATTATTTAGTTATTTAAAAATATCATATTAGTTTATTTTTATTTATTTATTTAGTATTCTTGTAGCTATTATTTAGCTATTTAAATATATTATCCTAGGTCCTTTTTATTTATTTATTTACTTATTTAGGTTTCTTATTTGTAGCTATTATTTAGTTATTTATATATATCATCCCAGGTTATTATTTATTTATGTATTTCTTTATTTCGTATTCTTACTTGTAGCTGTTATTTACTTATTTACATATATCATCCCAAGTTATTTTTATTTATTTATTATTTTGACTTGCAGCTATTATTAAGTTATTTAAATATATATATTCCTTTCGTTTGTTTTATTTATTTACTATTCTTAGTTGTGACCATTATTTAGTTAAATATATCATCCTAGGTTTTGTAAATGTATTTATTTATTTAGTATTCTTACTTGTAGCTATTAGTTATTTAAATATATCATTCTAGGTACTTTTTATTTATCCTAGCTATTATTTAGTTATATAAATATATCAACTTACTTTATATATATATATGTGTGTGTGTGTGTGTGTTTTATATGTATTTTTTTGTAAATATATTTTTATTTGCCTGTGGAATGATTTGCATTTGTAAAAATAGCATTATAAAAATGTTCTCTGACAATAGATATTGTTTTTAATATCTGTTTTATATTTAATTTGTGTTTTTTTGGTCTGCTAAATGATTAAATGTAAATGTAATGTAAATGTAGATATTGTTTTCATTTACCTTGACTCTGAAAAATGTTTTTTTTAATCTTCCATCAGAAACAGTTGCTGATTCCTCCCCTACACTGCAGAATGATAATCAGGACACACTATCCGGCGCTGGAGGCTTCGATGTGACAACAAATATCCCTTTTCAAGACCCCAAAGAAAACGCCTACACCTATGATTATGAGGATGGTACACACTCAATAACCCTGGATGAGGAGGAAGGTAAAGTTATCACTGAAATGTGCATACTGAAGATATCTTTTATATTTTTGTGCATTTAGCAGACGCTTTTATCCAAAGCAACTTACAAAAGAATTACGAAAGTGTTATATGAGGTTAATCAAAGAACTTGGTTTCGTACAAAGTTAATCTTGGGATGTGTAATTGTGTGTTATTTCTGGTTTCAGTTGTGCTGGGGCCAGGTGCCATCACAGCTATCGTCATCGCCGTGTTCCTCGGAGCCTCTGTTCTTCTCGCTCTCGTTGTGATCACGCTCAGAAAGTTCACTGCCTCTTAAGAGACATTTATGTGTTTTCATTTCCTTCCTTTTCTCAATCCCATCTCTTCTTTTTACTGTCCTCTGAACTGTATTTTCAAGTGTCTCATTGGTGGCAAAACCAGCCTTAGGCTGAACAAAAAGGTAACTGCAATCAAGAGAAATTATGGATGCATTTGTTTGGTGACCATATAATCAATGTCAATATCCTCTTGTAATAAGGTTTAGACTGAAATATTAAAAGAAGGTAGAATTGTTATATTAGAGACACATTTTAAGATATAGTTTATTACCATCCATGTGCAACTAGTTTTTTTCATACTGTATTGTAATGTATACCAATTTCCAATTTTCTTGTCATTCTAGATGTGTGTAGAATGATCATGTCCTTTAGAGTTGAAGATAACGTGTGTGTGAATGTGTGTATGTATTGAGAGAAATCAGAGCAGTCTTTGAGAGCGAGTGTTTTAATTGAACTTTTATACATAAACTGATGAATTTGTTTGTCACTGAACAGATAAAGAGACCACGTTTAATCCCCTTCCAAGAGTGGTATCTTTCACTGAATTTATATATTTGAAATAATGCTTTGCCATTGGTTATTTAGCATGTTGTTGCCTATTTTTATTCTCTTTATGGTCAGTTGCAGAGGAAACGATCCTTAAAAAAAACGTAAAGGAACGAGTTCAAATGTAGGCCCAACGTTACCTCAACAAAATACTTAAGTTGTGGAAAGAACCAACGCTAACATTGTAATTTGTATAAATCTGCCTGTGGTTTTAACTGTTAAGAGTGAGTATTTTGGCAACCTAACGAGTGCTGTAAGGGTTGGGGGGAAAAAAAGTAGCTAATTAACATTTGATGTCAAAAACGTAATTGTGCTAGAATATAGATGATCGGTTTTAAACCGTATGCAGAACTTCAGTGTTATTAGAGCACTCATAACACATCGGCTCGTTGGTCTAGGGGGATGATTCTCGCTTAGGGTGCGAGAGGGCCCGGGTTCAAATCCCGGACGAGCCCACCTTTTTTTTTTTTATTTTATTACTTTTCAGTGTGGACTGTTCCTCCGAATTTTCTAGAAAAAAAATGTGGGAACGAGATTTAATAAAGCTGACGGTTCTTCAGCGTTCGGCGTCAACAGCCTTGCTTACATGTACTTACAGCGCCTCTTCGTGGTAAAAAACGAAATGCAAGGTCCATTCAGTATTGTCAGTAGTTGACAAATAAACAACACTTCCTGAAAGGTATATTGACAACTAATGTAGATCTCGGGAGAATTTTTTTTTTTATTATAGTAGTTTCTGGGTTTTTCGGAATATAATTAGTTGTTTAGCTCTTATGATGAGTGATGAATCACTTGTTCTGGTCCTTTGCTGTAGTAAGAATCTGCATAAAGAATAACTATATATATAATGTAGACGCAAAAGCTATTTGACCCCGACGTGATTTGAACACGCAACCTTCTGATCTGGAGTCAGACGCGCTACCGTTGCGCCACGAGGTCAGTTCCGCTACAGGGTTTTTTACTGTTCTTTACAATGGTCTGTAGTTGCTGGCATGCCTATTTTTTGACGGATGTACGTTTTAGCATGTAAATGATGGTATAAAAAAAAGATGTGGAAATGTATTAACAAATCATGCTGATATGTAGCTTGGCCAACTAAATGTAACTATCGTGGTAAAAAACGAAATGCAAGGTCCATTCAGTATTGTCAGTAGTTGACAAATAAACAACACTTCCTGAAAGGTATATTGACAACTAATGTAGATTTCGGGAGAATTTTTTTTTTTATTATAGTAGTTTCTGGGTTTTTCGGAATATAATTAGTTGTTTAGCTCTTATGATGAGTGATGAATCACTTGTTCTGGTCCTTTGCTGTAGTAAGAATGTAGACGCAAAAGCTATTTGACCCCGACGTGATTTGAACACGCAACCTTCTGATCTGGAGTCAGACGCGCTACCGTTGCGCCACGAGGTCAGTTCCGCTACAGGGCTTTTTACTGTTCTTTATAATTGTCTGTAGTTGCTGGCATGCCTATTTTTTGATGGATGTACGTTTTAGCATGTAAATGAAGGTATAAAAAAAAGATGTGGAAATGTATTAACAAATCATGCTGATATGTAGCTTGGCCGACTAAATGTAACTGTGATGAGGTTGTAAATGGGTACATTAAATGCGTTAGCATGGCCGGTTAGCTCAGTTGGTTAGAGCGTGGTGCTAATAACGCCAAGGTCGCGGGTTCGATCCCCGTACGGGCCAGTGTCTTTTTATAACAGATTGTTCACTTGCCATAGTATTTTTGAGTGGCAAATCCATAACTTTAATAAATAAGGATAAAAAAGGTTAATAATCAAATCAAATAATCAAAATGTTGTGATTATATGCCATTACTATAGAGCAAAAACAGATGGGAAAATAAACAAACAAACAGGTTAAATGTAAAATGCATTTTTACATTTTTTTCCCCTTGTGCGCACGCGCACACACACACACACCGCTCTCTCTCTCGCTCGCGAGTCTTAACTTTGATAAAGAATATCTCTTTGGTTTTGAGACTTTAGTCTTTGCAACTTCAGGGATCTTATCTATGCACAATCAGCTTGTAACACTCCAAAGAGAAAGGAAAACTTGAAATCGCATCATATGACTCCTTTAAAGATGTTTTATGGCAGGGCTGATTTATGGATTGGGAAAGAGGCCTCAAAAAGAGCATCAAGTCGTGACTCTTGAGATAATCTCTGAACAGCTGAACAGCTAACTTTAATAAATAAGGATAAAAAAGGTTAATAATCAAATCAAATAATCAAAATGTGGTGATTATATGCCATTACTATAGAGCAAAAACAGATGGGAAAATAAACAAACAAACAGGTTAAATGTAAAATGCATTTTTACATTTTTTTCCCTTGTGCGCACGCGCTCTCGCTCGCGAGTCTTAACTTTGATAAAGAATATCTCTTTGGTTTTGAGACTTTAGTCTTTGCAACTTCAGGGATCTTATCTATGCACAATCAGCTTGTAACACAAAGGAAAACTTGAAATCGCATCATATGACTCCTTTAAAGATGTTTTATGGCAGGGCTGATTTATGGATTGGGAAAGAGGCCTCAAAAAGAGCAAAGGGTCGTGACTCTTGAGATAATCTCTGAACAGCTGAACAGCAGGACTCTTGCCGCGTACAGTAAGAGCTGACCACTAGAGCCACCAGTTTCTATTTTTAGTCATATATCATCATAGATGATAGATTGATATCAGAAGAGAGGCTAGCCTCCCTTACTAGATTTCTTTTCTCAACACTCCTCAGCGCTGAAAGTGAGCACTCGATGGTGATTGGCTAATTTTTTTACTAACGGAGGCACAAGAGCTCAGCTCTTCCCCGGCCTCCCCCTCCCCTTCTCTATCATTAGCGGTTGTAATTACATCAGCAGATTCGGCACATTCGCGATAGAAAAGCGGCGCTTTCACGTTATGATATAACTGTGAAATTACAAACAAAAAATACACATTCTGAGACATGAACTGAAATGAATTGTGAATTTTATTAACATTAAATCGTCCTCATTTTCACCTCAAAATTATGGGGAAGCTGTGCCTCCCCCGACGAGCCGCCACTGGCACCATCATGATTTAGTACTGATATGTTCAGATAAAAAAAATAATAATAATAATTACGCACAGTTGCTTTAAAATATGTATTTAGCACTATGTACATTAGTTTTTTTAATATTTGATCAAGTGTCACTGTCAGCATGATGTTGATGGTGCACTGACTTCTAAGACTAATGGCTTCTGTTTCTTTCCCACGCTTCTCTCCAAACGTCTGTTCTGTATGATGAGCGGGTATGACATTCCGTGAAATGGGCTGTTTTTGTACTAACGGAGGCACAAGAGCTCAGCTCTTCCCCGGCCTCCCCCTCCCCTTCTCTATCATTGATAGTTGTAATTACATCAGCAGGTTCGGCACATTCGCGATAGAAAAGCGGTGCTTTCATGTTATGGTATTACAACTGTGAAATTACAAACAAAAAATACACATTCTGAGACATGAAATGAATTGTGAATTTTATTAACATTAAATCGTCCTCATTTTCACCTCAAAATTATGGGGAAGCTGTGCCTCCCCCGACGAGCCGCCACTGGCACCATCATGATTTAGTACTGATATGTTAAGATAAAAAAAAAAATAATAATAATTACGCACAGTTGCTTTAAAATATGTATTTAGCACTATGTACATTAGTTTAAATCTTTGATCAAGTGTCACTGTCAGCATGATGTTGATGGTGCACTGACTTCTAAGACTAATGGCTTCTGTTTCTTTCCCACGCTTCTCTCCAAACGTCTGTTCTGTATGATGAGCGGGTATGACATTCCGTGAAATGGGCTGACACACACACACACACACACACCCTCTCTGAGGGAAAATGTCAAGGTCACATACAGATTCTGTGTGTAAGTGGCTTCAGGCTGGGGCGTAGTAGCCGTGGGGCTACGTGGCCCCCACACTGTCTGTCATGAGCTTCAATTCTCCTGTTGCTCTCGCGATTTCACTTTGCTCTTTGGGCGGTTTGGGGCCAGGGTAAAATCAAAATGCACTCCAGAAAAAAGCAGAGGATGATTACGTCCTTTTTCAAACTGTAATGACCTTCCCCTTTAACTCACTTTGCTTGGCGTCACCACTAGAGGAGTAATAAACATAAGTGAAACGAAGTAGAGACGTTTGTTCACGTGCTAACAGGTACAGCTAGAGAGAATGATTTTAAAGGGGTCATATGATGTGATTTAAATTTTTCCTTTCTCTTTGGAGTGTTACAAGCTCTTGGTGCATAAAGAAGATCTGTAAAGTTACAAAGCGTAAAAAGACAGTATAAGTCATTATAATCAGTAATTATGTCCCCACTGGATGCAACGAATGCCTCGTTTATAATGGGTTTTCATGTTTTTGTCTCGTCGCTCCGGCCAGGACAAGGCATCACAATATGGTGAGGGGCGTAACATTTCCGTCACACGCTTGAGGTATTTGGCCAATCACAACGCACTGGATAGCTGGCCAATCAGAGCACACCTCGCTTTTCAGAACAATGAGCTTTGTAAAAATCTACGCATTTCAGAAAGGGCATAAAGAAGAAACAATAATGTACAGTATGTGGAAAATAATGGGTTTTTTGAACCTTAAACCACATAAACACATTTCATTACACCAAATACACAAAATAATGTTATTTTTAGCAACATCATTTGACCCCTTTAAGGCAGTGTTTTTTTAATTGGGACTACTTGCCAATGTTTAAGGAATTAAACATTAATATATTTTTTCATTTTATGTTCAAACTGTTAAATAAAATTGGTTGTATAGGTAAAGGCAGTGTGTTCCAATAGCTTTTAAATACACTTTTTTGCCCAACTGTTAAGAATTAGGATAAAAGTTATTGTTTAAGTGTAGTGTAACTGAAATATTGTGCATAAAATATCTTTATTTCATAAAAATAAAGTATAGATGTCCACAGTGGTCTCAAAGTCCCAAGTCCTG